GGGAAATGTCTGGAGATCTACAAAGATGACACCAGCTAACTATCTAAGCAACAGAGGAGGGCTACCTTAACTGCCCTCCCCTTATAATGAGATCGATCACTAACATATATGCCATCCTATAGCATTCATTCAGCAGCTGGTGGATGTAGAAGCAGAGACACCCACAACTAATCACTGAACTGAACTGGAATCCAGTTGCAGAGAAGGAAGAGTGAAGAGCAAAGGGTCCAGACCAGGCTGGTGAAACCCACAGAAACAGCTGACCCGAACAATGGGGAGCTCTTGCTCCCCAGACTGATAGCTGTGATACCAGCATGGGACTGATCCAGACCCCAGGAACATGGATTTCATTGAGGAAACCTCGGAAATCTACAGGACCTCCTGTAGTAGTTCAGTACTTATCCCTAGCATAGGTGTGGACTTTGGGAGCCCATTCCTCATAGAGGAATACTCCCTGAGCCTAGACACACGGCCCTATCCCAAAGGATATGATAGACTCTGATGACACCCTATGGAAGGCCTCACCATCCAGGGGGAGCAGAAAGGATATGTGATAGGTAGGGTTTTAGTTGGGGGGGGGTCTGCAGGGGAGGAGGGGAGGGAGAAGGAACTGGGATTGTCATGTAAAACAATCGTGTTTCTAATTCTGAAAAAAAAAAAAAAGAGCACTGGCAGCTCTACTGAGGTCTTGGGTTCAATTCCCAGCACCCATATGGGAACTCACAACTGTCTGTAATCGTAATTTTGTAGGATCTGATGCCTTCTTCTGGTGTGCAGAAAACATGCAAACAAGACATCCATGTACATTTAATAAACAAATCTTTAAAATGTAGACATGGTATCATAGTATCATAGTATCATAGTAGCTTTGATGGATCACTGTGTATCAGAAACAATTTTAAATGTTTCATTTTCATTAGAGTTGCTCATTCTCACCACAGACCCATGAGGTAGAAAATCACTGCCCTTACTTAGACATCGGAAAACCAAGGCACAGAGGGACCATCGGCTCAAGGCCATTTGCTCATGAGGGGAGGACCTGGGCTTTGAACCTCGGCAAAAGCTGAGTTTAAAATCTCCAGATCCCACTGCCTCTCAGGATGCTGAAATACAGGTAAGACTAGAAGGGCTGGGGACCCAGTCCTCACGGGAAGGACTGGGGAAGAGATGGCACCGAGGCACGACCCAGTAGCAGCTCCAGGGAGGCAGAGAACACCTGTATCGTGGGAAGAACTGTGGGGACCTAGACGGTTGACAAGAGGGGGCAGGCTGGTGGGTGGATCAAAGTGATAGAGTCAGCATAAACGATAATATTAAGATGAGTCTAGATTAAAATCTCAATGATTTTGTAATTAGCTCAGAAGCATAGTGTGCATATTTAAATATTCATATACAGACACATATTTACATATATGTGCACATGTGTTCATGTGCACATTGATATAAGTAGAGCTCTGCGGATCCAGTTTGCATTCTGCAATTCTGCTTCACTATTGCTCAGCTACGCCCTTAACATCCTCTTCGGGTGTTTGAGGGGGATGCAGGGACGAGGGCCAACTCACTGGCCCACCGAGTCTCAAGACTCACTTCAAGTCAGTGGTTACCAATTCTCTGTGACCTACATTAAAAGAGGCAGCAAGGAGGCTAAAGGTCAAGGGGTGGAGAGAGATGAGGAGTCTGGGCAACTCCTCCGGCTGAGCACTTCTGCTGGCTGTGGAGAGGGAGGTAGTTAGTGTTGGTGTTCTGAGGGGCCAGAATCACAAACAAAGGAATCAAGGCTTCATCACTCCGCTTGTATCTTAAATTTCGTTCTCAGACATCTTCAAGGAAGGACAGAATTCTCAAGAGGACAAAAGTTGCTTTCATTAATATTACAGACATATTTGAAGACGTTCCTAAAACAACATTTGTGTGTGTGCATGCTCAGAATTCCACTTGAAAGATGCTTAAGAACACACCTGCAGATGGCACTGGAGTTCCTTTGAGAGAAGCTGGTAGAAAAGGCTCTTCTCACTGGGTTCAATGAACCGATCATGAAATACTCGGCTGGCTTCATGAACTAAGAGCTGAGCCGCCATATCCTTAGAGTGGACGACACTCTTGTCCGCCTGCATCAACCCCAGCAGCAGCTGTGAGAGATAAAAAATTAACATGATAAACATTAGGAGGGGATTGTGAGAAGCAAAACTCAAGTTGTGTGGGTGTATGTTTTCTAAAAATAGAAGAGACTGGCCAGTTCCACCTCCATCCACCGGCCCTGGTAGGCCGGGCTGTTTCTGGTTCTGGTTCCGGTTCGGTGGCCCTGTCAGAGACCTCTGATGCCAGGGGTCTGCTCACCGGATCCGAACTCCGAAGTAGGACACACCACACCTGAACACTGCCAAGGCTCCCGTAACAGTGCCACCTCCATCCACAAGAAGAGGACAGATATCAGAGTATTGCAACTGTTTGCATTTAACAGAAGGGAACCTTGGTCCCATACCCACCAGGAGAGGAAGAGATTCCTGCTACATCCACCAGAAGAAAGGATGAGAAGAGGACAGGGTAAAAACACATCCAGCAACAGAAAACCCAAAATGACACCACCGGAGACTAGGAACCATACACCAGCAAGACCTCAACATCACAGTGCAGATGAAGCAGAAGAGAAGGACCTTAAAAACATCTTCATGACAATGATAGAGGGCCTCAAAGAAATGGAAGAAAAAACAAACCAAAAAATATAAGATCAACAAATCTCTCAAGGAAATAGTTCAAGACGTAAAAACTGAAATAGAGACAATAAAGAAAGCACAATCTGAGGAAATGCTGGAAATAGAAAAGCTGGGTAAACTATCAGGAACTACAGATGCAAGCATAACCAACAGATTACAAGAGATGGAAGAGAGAATCTCAGGAGCTGAAGACACACTAGTGGAAATAGAATCATCAACCAAAGAAAATCTTAAGTCCAACAAATCCCTAACACAAAATATGCAGGAAATATGGGCTACCATGAAAAGACCAAACCTAAGGATAATAGGTATAGAAGAAGGTGAAGAAATCCACCTCAAAGGCACAGAAAACATATTCAACAAAATCATAGAAAACTTTCCCAACCTAAAGAAAGACATGCCAATGAAAGTACAAGACGCCTACAGAACACCAAATAGACTGAACCAAAAAAGGTCTCCTCACCACATAATAATCAAAACACCAAAGATACAGAATAAAGAGAAAATATTAAGAGCAGCAAAGGAAAAAGGTCAAGTAACTTATAAAGGCAAACCTATCAGAATTACACCTGACTTTTCCACGGAAACCCTGAAAGCCAGAAGGTCCTGGATAGATATTCTACCTACACTAAGAGACCATAGATGCCAGCCCAGACTACTATACCCAGCAAAGCTTTCAATCAATATAGATGAAGAAAACAAGATATTCCATGACAAAACCAGATTCAAGCAATACATACCCATCAATCCAGCCCTACAGAAAGAAGACAGAATCCATCCTTCTGCTGCATACAGGAAACACACCTCAACTTCAAAGACAGACGGTACCTAAGAATTAAAGGGTGGGAAAAGATTTTCCAATCAAATGGACCTAAGAAACAAGCAGGGTAGCAATCCTAATATCCAACGGATTGGACTTTAAAATCAAAAGAGATGAAGGAGGTTACTTCCTACTCATCACAGAAGAAATCCATTAGGATGAAGTCTCAATTCTGAACATTTATGCCCAAAATACAAAGGCATCCACGTTTGTAAAAGAAACATTACTAAAACTCAAATGACACATGAAACCACACACCCTTATGGTGGGAGACTTCAACACCCCACTCTCACCACTGGACAGGAACACCAGACAGAAACTTAACAAAGAAACAAAGGAACTAATAGAAATTATGGCAAAATTGGGCTTAACAGATATCTCTATAGAACATTCCATCCAAATACAAAACCATTTACCTTCTTCTCAGTGCCACGTGGAACCTTCTCTAAAATTGACCACATACTTTGGCAACATAGCAAACCTCAACAGGTACAAAAAAATTGAAGTAACCCCCTGTATCTTATCAGACCACCATGTTTTAAAGTTAGAATTCAACAACAACACAAATTGCAGAAAACCTACAAACTCATGGAAATTAAGTAACACCCAATTTCGCAATTCCTGGGTCAAAGAAGAAATAAAAAAAGAAATTAAAGATTTCATAGAATTCAATGAGAATGCGGACACAACATACCCAAGCTTATGGGACACTTTAAAAGCAGTGCTAAGAGGAAATTTCGTGGCGCTAAGTGCCCACATGAAGAAACAGGTGAAGAATCACACTAGAGAATTAACAGCACAACTGAAAGCTTTAGAACACATAGAAGCCAATACACCCCGGAGGAGCAGACACCAGGAAATAATCAAATTGAGGGCTGAAATCAATAAAATGGAAACTAGGAAAACAATGCAAAGAATCAATATAATGAAGAGTTGGTTCTTTGAGAAAATCAACAAGATAGACAAACCGTTATCCAAACTTATCAAATGGCAGAGAGTGAAAGTACAAATTAAAATAATCAGGAATGAAAAGGGGGACATAACAACAGACACAGAGGAAATCCAGAGAATCATCAGGTCATACTTTGAAAACCTGTATCCCTCAAAATTCGAAAATCTAAAGGAAATGGACAATTTTCTAAAAAAAAAAACAAACATCAAGTGCCCTTAACCCCCAATTAAAAAAAAACAAGCAACAAAAAACCCCCCACCAAAAAAAAAAAAAGCCAAGGGTCAGATGGCTTCACTGCAGAATTTGACCAGAAATTTAAGGAACAGCTAATACCATTCTCCTCAAAGTATTCCACACAATAGAAGCAGAAGAGTCATTGCCAAGCAATTTTCATGAGGCTTCAATAACCTCGATACCCAAGCCACACAAAGACACAACTACAGAGTACTACAGACCAATATCCCTCATGAACATTGATGCAAAAATTCTCAATAAAATACTGGCAAATCAAATCCAAGAATACATCAGAAAAATCATCTACCATGATCAAGTAGGCTTCATCCCAGAGATACAAGGATGGTTCAACATATGAAAATCCATCAATGTAATTCACCATATAAACAGACTGAGGGAAAAAAAAAAACACACGATCATCTCACTAGATGCCGAAAAAGCCTTTGACAAAATCCAACACCTCCTTCATGATAAAGGTCTTGGAAAAACCAGGGATAACAGGAACATACCTCAACATAATAAAAGCAATATACAGCAAGCCGACAGCCAACATCAAATTAAATGGAGAGAAACTCAATGCAATTCCTCTAAAATCAGGAACAAGACAAGGCTGTCCACTCTCTCCATAGTTCTTCAATATTGTCCTTGAAGTCCTAGCTAGAGCAATAAGACAACAAAAGGAGATCAAGGGAATACAAATCGGAAAGGAAGAAGTCAAACTTTCACTATTTGCAGATGATATGATGGTTTACATAAGAGACCCGAAAAACTCTACCAGGAACTCCTACATCTGATAAACATCTTCAGCAAAGTGGCAGGATACAAGATTAACTCAAAAAAATCTGTAGCCCTACTATATACTGATGACACATTGGTGGAGAAAGAAATCAGAGAAACATAATCCTTTACAATTGCCACAAACAACATAAAATATATCTTTGGGTAACACTAACCAAATAAGTGAAGACCTGTACCGGAAGAATTTTGACTCTCTAAAGAAAGAAATTAAAGAAGATACCAGAAAATGGAAAGATCTCCCACGCTCTTGGATAGGTAGAATCAACATAGTAAAAATGGCAATCTTGCCAAAAGCAATCTACAGATTCAATGCAATCCCCATCAAAATCCCAGCACAATTCTTCACAGACCTTGAAAGAACAATATTCAAGTTTATATGGAAAAACAATAGACCCAGGATAGCCAAAACAACCCTGTACAATA